GGGGTCCTAATTGGGGACTCGGTGGCCATCCCTGAACCGCATCTTCGGCACCATCACATCCAACACCAGAACAAAGTGAGTCTACTCTCCCTATTCCCCCTTTGTCTCTCCTATGTCATGCCATGAATCAAGTTCAACCTTAATCAGAGCCTTCCACAAATAATCTAAAGCTTATAACGGGCAACCTGGAATTACAGACCGCCCTCAGTTTATGTCCACATTTAGGGCCAGAATTTCTGATGCTGAACAAGATCATTGTTGAGTCATGCCTGATTTTATGACGTTTTTACCATGGTTGTTAAACAAATCACTGCAATTAAGTGAACTCAGGCAGTTGCTAAGTGAATCCAGCTTTCTCCATCGACTTTGCTTGTCAGTAGCTGACTGGGGAGATTACACATGGCGATCATGTGACCCCAGGATGCTTCAACTGTCCTAAATACACGTCGGGTTGCCAAGCACTTGAATTTTGATCATGTTACCATGGGGATTGCTGCAAGGTTTGTGAAAGCAAGGACCGATCTCTAGTCACTTTTGTTCTGTGCTATTGTAACTTTGAATACACACTAAACCAGGGGTAGTCAACCTTGGCTCTTTTATGACTCGTGGGCTTCAACTCGCAGAATTCCTGAGCCAGCACAGCTGGCTCTGGAATTCTGGGAGTTGAAGTCCACGAGTCATAAAAGAGCCAAGGTTGACTACCCCTGCACTAAACAAAGGGTTGTAAGGTGTGGGCTAGCTGTACTTAAATGGAGAAATATTGGAAATATTCCCTTGAAAACAAAGACAGGAAATCCAGCGTATGAGAGCTTTTATTTTCTTCATACATTTTTTGTATGAATACGTTTTGTGATGATTTTCCTGTCTGTTATTTGAGGAGAAAAGTGTTTCATGTGGGGTTTTTTTGCCATGTATATGTATAAATTCAAACTAGACTGTGATGTTTCTCTGTGTCATATGTGTGTGTGTATGTGGGTATTTGCATAATGTTTTTTTTTGAGAGCTGAATGTAACAAAATATCATTTTAATGTATGGTGATTAGGGTACATTTAAAGTGAGAATGAAGTTTTTATTCCCAGTCTAGTCCAGGGATAGGCAACCTTGGCTCTTTTATGACTCGTGGACTTCAACTCCCAGAATTCCTGAGCCAGCATGGCTCAACTTGGAAACCTCTCCCTTTCCCCTCAGCATGGCTGGCTCAGGAATTCTGGGAGTTGGAAGTCCACGAGTCATAAAAGAGCCAAGGTTGCCTACCACTGGTCTAGTCTATTCTAAAGTATCTGTGTAAGCCAGCTATGATTGTTCTTTTGTCATTGTTTACATTATTGTTCTATTATTTTACAAGTAGTCCTCGACTTAACAATAGTTCATTTAGTGACCATTCAAAGTTACAGTGGCACTGAAAAAAGCAATTTATGACCGTTTTTCACACTTACGACTGTTGCAGGGTCAAGTGACCAAAATTCAGATGCTTTGGCAACTGACTCATACTTATGGCGGCTGCAGTGTCCTGGGGTCACGTGATCTCCTTCTGCAATCTTCTGACAAGCAAAGTCAATGGGGAATCCAGATTCACTTAACAACCATGTTACTAAGATTAGATTAGATTAGATAACCTTTATTGTCATTTTATTGTCATTTTAACAATTTCAGTGATTCACTTAACAACTGTGGCAAGAAAAGCAGTAAAATGCGGCCAAACTCACTTAACCGCTGTCTCGCTTAGCAACGGAAACATTGGGCTCAATTCTGGTCGTAAGTCAAGGCCTACCTGTACTCCTATTCTGTTTTCCAGCCTTCTCATTTTTCTTCCTTTCCTTTCAATATTTCAGCTGCCTCCTTCCACAGAGAGATAGGCAGCGAATGCATGTAACAAATAAATAATGCCACTTACACTGATGGTTTTTTTTTTAAAGCATCTCACATAACCTAACGTTCTCCGTTCTCATCCTTTTTTTCTTCTTTTTTTTCCTGCTTTTCAGAGTTTTACTTTTTCTGGCATCCGCGTAGAGACTCCTCTGGTTCTGGTGGTGAACGGCAAAGTGCAAGGATCGCAAAGCCAGGCCGCCGCGACCGTTGCCTATCAGGCACAAAGTGAATGAGGAGAGACGAAGGGCAAAATTTCCAGGGGTGCTCAAGAGTTTTAGACTACATCGATTCCCTCTCTGCCTACTTTTTCAGTAGTTTAGAGAGATGGGACGGATTCGTGAAATACCATCCAGCCATTAAGTGAAGGAGCGAGAGAAAAATAGAATTGCAGAACATTTGTTCAACCTGGTGCTTTAATTCTCATCTCTTTTGGGTTTTTTTTCCCCCCAAGTTTCTTTTCCACAGACAGCTGTTTTGCTTTCATTTGTACTGAAATGAGTGTCCACAGGAAATCAGGGGGCTGCTCATTTTGTTCCCCTTCTCTTTAGTTTTCTCCCCCTTTTCTGATCCGTTCTTTCATCTTCGCTCTTGCTTTGCCTCCATCGCATTTAAGTTTGGGCAGTCGGTCAGTGTAGATTTTTTTAGATCCCGTTCATCTGAATCAAATTCTGTTCTTACAGTGTATTAATGAAGTCAGTGGGACTTAGGCTAGCCTGGCTATCCTAAATCCCACCGTCTTGTGGGTCAGTATGATCAATGCTACATCCAACTTGTTATTTCTGTGTAAATGGAAGAGATGCTTTCTGTATTTATTTGATATTATTTTGAGATGGGTTTTTTTTGTAATTTTTGTATACTTTTTCCGCCGGACTCCTGATCTTTTCCCTTCCAACCAATAAAATGAGTCCTTTGCCATAATATCGTGTAAAACTTCTGTTTATGGAGAATGGTAAAACAACTGGTTTAATTAGAATTAAGCAAATCTTCTGTGTTGATCTCGTACTGCTTAGAATGGAATGGAATAGAAATAGAAATAGAACTAGCAATAAGAACAGAAATAAGAATAGAATAGAACAGAATACGAATGGGAATGGACTAGGAATAGGATTAGGGATAGGGATAGGGATAGGAGTAGGAGTAGGAGTAGGGATAGGAATGGAACGGAATGGAACAGAATAGAATAAAATAGAATGGAACGGAACGGAATAGGAAAGGAATGGAATGGAATGGAATGGAATGGAATGGAAGAATAGAATGGAATGGAATGGAATGGGAACAGAATGGAACTGAACATAATAGAATAGAATGTAGAATGGAATGGAATGTAGAATAGAATGGAACAGAACAAAACAGAATAGAATAGAAAGAATAGGAATAGGAATGGAATGGAATAGAATAGAACAGAATAAAATAGAATGGAATGGAATGGAATAGGAATAGGAATAGGAATGGAATGGATGGTAGAATAGAATAGAATTAGAATAGAAATAGAATTAGAATAAGAATAGAACAGAATAGAATAGAAAGAATAGGAATAGGAATGGAATGGAATAGAATGGAATAGAATGGAATGGAATGGAATGGAATGGAATAGGAATGGAATGGAATGGAATGGAATGGTAGAATAGAATTAGAATAGAAATAGAAATAGAAATAGAAATAGAAATAGAAATAGAATTAGAATTAGAATTAGAATTAGAATAAGAATAGAACAGAACAGAATAGAATAGAATAGAATTTTTTATTGGCCAAGTGTGATTGAACACACAAGGAATTTGTCTCCGGTGCATAAGCTGACAGTGTACATATAAACAGCAAGTAATATGTCATAGATCATAATAACAATAGATAAATCATAAGAAACCAATAGGAGAAGATAGTAGGAAAGATGAGAGGATGAGAAAAGATGGGAAATGAGATGGTGCTGTGAGAATTAAGTGTTCAGCAGAGTGATGGTGGCGGGGGGGGGAACTATCTTTGTATCTAGTAGTTTTGGCATGCAATGCCCTCTAGCGGCATAATGGTTGCAGTTAAAGAAGGCTGCTTGTGTAAGGCCATGCAGGGATTATTATAGTTGACAGAAGTGTTCATTTTGGTAGCATGACCAATTAGTTTCCAAAGAACGGGCAAGAAATGTGGAGTGAATCTGCCTTCTCCTTATGGCAAGTAATTTTATTCAGCACCTGCTGGCCCTATCAAGCTGGGATCAAGAAATTGTTCAAACATCGGCCCATGGTTACCCTTATAAATAAATAAAAATCCTAATCAAATTGTAAAGCGTAGGCAGCTCGTACACTGTGAAATTTAAATTTGATTTCTTTAATGGTCTGTAACAAGAATCCAGCAGTTTTACATGTATAATATGCATACGAAAAGAATAATAATGGTGGTGACATCCTCAAAATGGAACTTTAACTCATGCTGATGTAAATGGATGCACTTTCCTTGGCAAATAATTATCTGGGTTTTTAATTCTTCTTTATTTTTTTTTCAGTCTAAAAAAGTGCTTCTTAACCTTGGCAATTTACAGATGTGTGTAATTTCAACTGCCCCAGGAACTGATGAAGGATTAGGTTCATTAGATCCTATAATAAAATTCCAGCAACTTCATCTGTCCGTTCTAGAAGAGAATTGTAATAGCTTATACACACAGGAAAATTTCACATACAGGTAGTCCTCGACTTAACAACCATTCNCATCTCCATGGTCACATGATCAAAATTCAGATGCTTGGCAACTGGCATGTACTTATGACTGTTGCAGTGTCGCAACAGGGTCATGATCACCCTTTGCAAGCTGCCCAGGCGGCTTCCAACCAGCAAAGTCAATGGGGGAAGCCAGATTTGCTTAACAACTGAACAATTCAATTAACAGCTTCAGTGATTCACTTAACAATGGTGGCAAGAAACATTGTAAAAATGGACAAAACTCACTTAACAACGGTCTTGCTTAGCAATGGAAATTTGGGGCTCCATTGCGGTTATGCGTTGACAACTACCTGTAGTGTATTTTACCTGTAGTGTAACATAGACCAAGTCTATTTTAATATAAAAAATGAGTTAAAATACCATACTAACTGATATACATATATATGCATACATATGATTTATTGTGTGAATTCAGTAACTGCTTATTTAATAAATCGTGAGATGGGTGGCATATCCATTTAATAACTAAATCGTGGTTAACCAAACCATGGTTAAGCATAACATGTTAATTCAGAGTCTCTGCTGCTTAATTTGAGGTAAAATCCAGCCTAATACCAGTTCCTCAACTAGCATGTATGTGAATAGATTCCTCAACAGAAGAGTAGAATAACATTTCTATAACCTTTCTTCAACTCTTAATTGCCAGAAGTGTATGTTGTTTAATTGCTTGGCTTGGTACTGTAGAAAAAAAGATAAATTGCTGTACAAAGCTGGCAGTTTTAATTGGCTCCTGAAGGAGATCCCAAAGGCATAAGTTCAAATCTACATCTGCCTAATGATGCCAAAATGTTTTTCTCTTTAATTAGTTTAACTCTTGTTTCCCTTTCTCTCCCTTGGGAAAGTGGCAGCTTTTGGACTAATGTATCAAGTAGATGCTTGATGCAAATGCCAGGGGAAAGTAGTAGACTTTTGAAGCTCTTATCTACTTTTTTTATGTTAGGAAGAAGAAGACAGGGTGATTTGCTGCTTCCTGCCATTAAAGATGACTGACAAATTGTTTATGAAAACTACCTTTGTGGTGGTTTGCCAAGGACAACCTCGGTTCTTGTACATGGGTGGGGGAGGCAAAGCCTTGGTGACTTTATGTGATCAGACAGGATGGTGACATCTGCTAAAGCGAGATTGCTACTTTTTCTGGCCAGAGACTAAAACATATATGAACCAAAGAAAAGGGAGTCAAGCGACTTCTGGTTTGCCGATGCAGCTGCCGTGGACGTTTGGAAGGTGAGCTCCGTCTTCCACGTCCGATTTTGCATTGCTGGGGGACCCTGGAAAGGGTCGAAAGTCACCCTGTAGGGGCGACAAGCAAGGAGGGGATCCCTGTTTGATCGCAGGAGGGCGGTAGCCCTTCCGCTCGATCCAGGGCAACCCTCCAAACCAGCAGATGAAAGACCGGCCATAGAAATATGGCTCGTCACTAGGCTGCAGACAGCCGAAGTCAAATTTACCATCAGGCACATACAAAGCAGCGCAGATGAGACTGGGTGAGATCTGAACCTCTCTTCAATCCTAATTATTTTTTCTACCTGTATAAGCTGCCCAAAGTATTTTCCCCCCCTGTGGAGAGAGGGAAGGGAAATTCTACCCCACCCTCTAAAATCAGCAGTGACTGACTATCCAGGGGAGTTTAAAACGCTGAAAAAACAACTTGATTCTAACTGGATTTTTATCTTTCTAAAATTTGAGGACTAAAAGATTTCTTATTCTTATTGAAGATTTGGGTTCTTACTTATAAAAAAGAAGTAAAATTGAGAAAGGATTATAAAAATTTTGGACTTAAAAAAAAACAAAAATCTTAAATGGTGTGGGCAACATCTTGTGGCTAAACCTGATATTACAACTTGTTATTGTCTAAAAGAGACTTGGCTTGAAGCCCAGACTATAGATAAGGCTTTTGCAACCTTGGCAGATATCAGCTGTGAGAAGCCCAGCTGTGTTTTATAGTCAGTGACAAAATTATTTTCATTCTCTGATTGTAAAGCTTTTAATTTAACACACTACTAAGAGAACATGGAAGAAGATCAGGAACAGATTCTTTTTATGTTGAAAGCAATTTATGAAACTATTCTTACAGCTACTGATGAAATAAGAAGCTGCAGAAAAGAACAAGATGTCAGCCTAGATATACAAACCCAAACTTTGATTACAAGTAAAGAACCAGCTACACAGAATATAATAGAAGAACAATTAAATACTATGATAGAAGATTCAACTGATCAACAAACACAGTTAACGGAAAACCCAGAAAAGGGACTGACAACACTGAAAATGGAAAAGACTTTCTATATAAACCAAAAGAAACCTGAGGATCAAGAAGAAGAACAGACCGAAGGGAAGATAAACATTTCAGGACAACTACGTCGAGATGGAAAAATAGAGAGACGATTTGTTAGCCCTTCCCAAAAAAATGAAGACTGGATGGCCTCTTTTATCTCAAACAACATATATAATAACAGAGGGAAACTATTTGATGACTTAAAAGCACAGATATGGAAGGCGAGTTGGCAAAGAAAGAAAGCTAGAATAAGGCTGAAGAAAATAGAATATACTCAAATCGACAAGACGTGTACTTTGAATACTACATTTTGTTATGAACTGACATAAAGAAAACTTTGGTCATTTAAAACTTGGAGGTATAAATACCAAAAGTTAAATCTGAATATTGATTGGTTTACAAAGGTTGAATGTAAAAGTAAATAAGATATATATAAGCTAAAAATCTACTGACAAATGTAATAAACATGTTTTTAATTAGCTGATATAATAAGAACTATACTAGCTTAAATATGAGATAATAGACACTAAGAGAAAAAGAGAGGAAGTATTTGATGTTGAAACAAGAGAAATTTTGGTTACTAAATTTAAGACATTTGGAAATTAATAGAAAATAAGAATGTTACACTATAATTAATTAGATGATGTAAGATGGTGAGAAATAGAATATATTCAAATAGATAAGATGTGTATCTTGAATATTAGACTTTGTGATGAATTGTGATAAAGGGAATTTTGGTCGCTTAAAACTTGAAATTATAAATATTAAATGTTAAATTTAAATATTAATGGAAAACTAAAAATTGGGAAAAACTAATTAGGACATTGATTGTCTATACAGGCTGAATGTTAAAATAACCAGGATACGTATGAGCTAAAATTATTGAGAAATGTAAGAATGTTATGTTTATTTAATTGATATAATATGAATTGTAT